AGTCTTCTATTGCACAGTTTGAGTTTGAAGGGCTGGCAGGACTTCCAGGTGGATATAATTGATTAAACTGCTTGACTAAGGCAGGGTTTCTGTTGATTGAATGGACTGAATTAGACCCTTCAGTTCAGGTTGGATCACTTCACTGGGAAGTGTTACTTAGGAATGGGGAATTGCACCCTGTGTTCTCCTTATGGGTTCTCCTTATGGTTCTAGGGAGAGATTGAATTTTACACTGCTTGTGCTTTTTTTGCATTAGAAACACTCCCAGTAGACCTAGCTATCCTACAGGATCTGATTTAATGGGGTTGACTACCCCTTATAGACATAGCCTGAACTGATCACAAGTTTTGGCATCCTCTAGTAGTCTGGGTGGGAATTCAAATAGAACCAATGTTGTATTCACCAAATGTATTAAACCATGGCTATATAATTAATATTGAATTCAGCTATACCTCCCAAAGTCATATGACATCTGCTTTACTGCTCAGTCATGGTAACGTTTTTGATATTAGTATATTAAATGTTAAATACTGTTTGGGGACCTACTCTTCAATTTGAGGCTACTTTTTAAATTTTATATTTTTTTTGTACTATTGAGAGTGAAATAATGCATTTAGAATCCTGAGCTAGTATTCTGAGTGGAAGGTAACAGCAATAATATGAATATGCCATGATTTATGCCTAGAGAACCTGCGTGTACAATTGATGGATTGTAGTTTTGACTTGTAGTACTTGTTTATTTTGTTCATCTACATTAGTTGTTCTTTTCCTTCAGTGTACATCAGAATTGCCTGAGGAGTCTTTTAAAATGCAAATTCCAGAGCTCCACTCCCAGAGTAGATCTAGATAGAAAACCGTGAAATCTGCATTTTAAACAAGCGCCAAAAGTGGCCCACAGACCACACTTTGCATTATCTAATGTCTCCAAAGTCCTTACTTCTAATTCTTTTGACTTTTAAAAATTAAGCTCAAAGAAAGGAGTTTCCTAAGGTAGTTTCTCTAGCTGGTGTATTCTCTATAGTGGGATTTATAACTTGGAGTCTGTGGATGGGGTTCAGATCTATGAACCCTTGAAATTATATGTAAAAATATGTGTCTACCTGTATTTTTCTGAGATAGGCTAAACACTTTAGAACTCCAAAAGAGTCCAGGACCCAACTCAGGTAAGAATTACCTCCACTGCCCTACTGTGTAGAATAATAAAAGTGTCAAAAATACCTAATTTCAATAAGACAAAAATATTCCTTACTTGCTATCCATCTATCTATATTTTTACAAATTTAGACATATTAGGCGTAGTAATTCTCAGCCTGGAAGGAATAGTGTAGCAACATTATACCTTTGACTTCCAAAAAGACCACTAGAAAAACCTGTTAATCAAGCAAAGCTAATTTTATTATACTTATAGTAGCAAGAAAGTGCACTACCTTGATAGAGTCTTAGCAGTGTTTTAGAAAGGGGATATCAAGGGAGAATATTTATAGGATTTTAGAGCATGGCTGTGTGATTTTAAAGTAGGTCTTGCAAGGCAAGGAATGGGTTAGGATTGTGCAGTGTTTATGATGAACTAGTTTTGGGTTGGTGAATACAGCCAAGTGAGGGTCTTGAAGAGAGTCTTGGTGAGGAAGCTGTTATTATTAATAAGTAAAGTACTTCAGCTGGTTCAGTCTTATCTTCCAGGAACAAGTATTTCTTAAAGTAAGAAGCTAAGTTATTTTTGTTTGTTCTCAGTATTGTTTAACATAAGAACAGGAAAATATGCTCTGTCGTGATATTGTTTAACGCAGGGAAAAGAAAGTATGCCCAGTCCCAGTATTATTTACACAAGAGCAGGGAATTATGTTTATTCCAGTTCTCAGTACCAAGGACTGGTATTCTAGCTGTATTACTGGGTAGTTAATGCTCCCTGGCCCAGCCATCACCCAATACATAATGTTCACCGAAGGCCACACATTCTTTCCAACCAATCAGCCAACGTCAGCATAGTATTTGGTCCCAGATAAACAGAAACATCTGTCTTCCTTCTCCCCTACAGACCTTCCGAGGATGAAAACCTTTAGGTTTTCGAATAGTCCCTTAGTCCATTCCTAGAGATGCAGAATGTCCCCCATATGAAATTACAATAGTGAGGATAGTAATGAATGTTAAGAAACATTCAGCGAAATTTTGCAGGTGGATCTTCTCTAGTGAAATAGCAAAGTTAAGATGTGGAAGGTTACCTCTTGGCTAGTAAGCACTGATTGGTCTTTGTACCAGTCTAAGGGTTGGGCCAAGAAGCCTAGACCTGAGACCATTTGTATTTGCCACTAGGGCCACTTTTAGATCTTCGTGGGCTGTATATACACTCTCACTTATGGAGGCCACATGATGCATTGTATCAAATATATTAAAGGGCCCCTACACCCTACTTTATATTTTTGCTGTAAACTTTTAAAAGGGATTTTTAAAATACTGGTTTTGACATTATTTCATTATAAGTAATATTTAATTTATGGTTATGTATGATTTCTTAGAAATCATTGTGAATACTCAAGAATTGTTGCGAAATAAAACAATCTAGGCTACAATTTGTTTTTTAATGTAATGAAATTTCTATAAATACTAAATTTAAATGATTAGTTAAGTTGACATATACTTAATAGACATTTAATTAAACATAACTTGATTTAGATTTTATAGTTTTCTTGTGGTGTTATTTCTGACTTCAAACATTTTCATAGGCCCGCGTAAAGCTTATCCCTCGGCATGGTTCGTATTGCCTAATGGGTAAAATAGCTTTGTTTGCCATATAAAAAGTAGTAATTTTATTTTATTTATTTATTTTTTTTTTTTATTTTTATTTTTTTCCCCCAAAGCCCCAGTAGATAGTTGTATGTCATAGTTGCACATCCTTCTAGTTGCTGTATGTGGGACACGGCCTCAGCGTGGCCAGAGAAGTGGTACATCGGTGCACGCCGGGGATCTGAACGTGGGCCGCCAGCAGCGGAGCGTGAGCACTTAACCACTAAGCCATGGGGCCGGCCCAAAAAAAGTAGTAATTTTATATGCAAGTTCTGCCCGTCTACCAAGGAACAAGTGATTAGGTGCATTCTGGATCCCAGCTGGCATAAGATAGAGCAGAACTTTCTGAAACAAAATAACGTCAAAGCAAATACCAATAACCCAAAGGTGACTTCTCCCTGTGCCCACTGAGGTGCCCTGAAGAGTTAGTCTTTCACAAAAAAGAAACTGATTTTTTATCTGAAACTTAATGTCATTAACATATGTTGCTATCCACATAACCACAATACAGTATAATAGCCCAGCCATTTTGGCTAAATTAAGAACAAATATAGATGTATAAATAAGAAAACCAATATCAAGAATATAAACTTCAAGCTATAAACCACTCAGCATATCTATCAGGGCAGTCAAATATTCTTTCAAATGCTTATTTATAAATTCTAAGTTGTCTTCTTTCTCACAATAGATAAATCTTGCTGGCTCCAATAAGATATACCATTTCACCTTATTACCCCACCATAGGTTTATACATAACTGTAGAAAATCCCCGATGAATTTTAAATCATAGACTGTGGTCCTTTGATGTAATAGTCTGTTACTAGGCTGCCTGTATCTGCCTCAAGAGCTTTGTCCTCAAGGAATAAAAATTCTTTTTAGGATTAGCCTGAGCCAGTATACCCAAAGGCATAAACAAAAAACAAATAAATACACACACACACACACACAAACAAAAAATCAAAAACCATCTGTAATAATGCTGTCCAACAGAAATGTAATAAAAGCTGTATATATAACGAAATTTTCTTATAGCCACGTTTTAAAAAGCAATATATTTTATTTAACCTCAAATAGTCAAAATATTATCGTTTCAACGTATACTCAGTATAAAAAGCATTAAAGAAATATTGTATAATTTTTTTCATATTATGTATTCAATATCTGGTATGTATTTTACACTTATAACACATGTCAATTCAGACTACCCACACTTTAAGTATTCAACAGCTATGTAGAAGCTAGTGGCTAGTGGCTGCCATATTGAACAGCACAGACCTATATCACAGTTCAGTGATTTTTAAACTTGAGTATGCATCAGGATCACCTGCAAGGCTTGTTATAACACAGATTGCTAGGTACCATTCCCAGAGTTTCTGATTCATAGGTCTGGATGGAGCCCAAGAATTTGCATTTCTAACAAGTTACTTGATGATACTGATGGTGCTGATCTGGGGACCACACTTGGAGAATAATGGCCATGGTTCTTTCAAAATCCAGCTTTGAAACCATTTTACCCCTGCATTAACGTGAATGATCAAGAACCGACCCTAGATACTGTGATTGTTGCCGTTATTTTTGGTGGTGGTGTTACTGTAGTTTTTAACATTGCAAATCAACATTTACCTGTGGGTTAAGATTGAATAATTATTTATGTAGATGAGTATTCCTTAGATCTTCATGTCTGTTACTCTCTGAGTACTTCTTTGCAAGGAGGCTGAACGGGGAAGAAACATTTACGGGCTTGTTTACACTTAGTTGGTATTTGCAGAAATGTATTAATACCATATCCATATGCATGCTCTGATCTTTAGGCACAAAATGGCCCTTTTCTGATTGACAAACTGTCAGTCAACAAATTGACAATCTGCCTAGTGCAAATTAAGGGCTTTAATAGCAATTAATTTGATTTTTAAAATATATTAATTGATTTCAGAAGCATTGAACTTTAAAATAGTAAAATGAATAGCTCACTGTTTTTGATCTCAGTGGAAAATAAAAAGAATTTTTAAAATGTCATGGTGTTTAAACCATGACCTGAATTTATCTCTGAATGTAGGCAGGTCCTGGCCACCAAACCAGTAGGTGGTTCTGCTCATTTGTAAAAGGTGCAATTTCCTTCTATCCCTACATGCTTAAATATTTAATTTCCCTTGTCTCATTTCTGAAAGAAAAAAATGAGGAGTTAATACCTGTTCTTTAAACTTTGTTTTTGTCATAAGAGTACAAAAACAGCATCAGAGCCTCCTTTGGCTCCTCCTGTGTCTGAAGAAGAAGATGAAGAAGAGGAAGAAGAAGAAGACGACAATGAGCCCCCACCAGTTATTGCACCAAGACCAGAGCATACAAAATCGGTAAGTCACAAGTGACTATTTCCAAATGATTCAAAAGATGTCCTTTAGAACAGTCATAGAGTCAGAATCTAGTTAGTCAACTAGTACCTATTGAGCATCTACTATGTTCCTAGAACTAGAGTATAAGATATGAACTTGGTTGAGGTTGCTGTTTGGGGATACAAGATTAGCACATGACAATTAGAAAATAATAGCAAACCATATACAAATAAGTGTGAAGTTATAAGACTACCGCAGAAGTTAAGATAGAGAAGGGAATCCATATGAACCAGGTAGGAAGAATTACATAAGCAGAGGCATCAAGATCAGAATTAGCACAGCACATATGTGGACTGCTAAAGACTAGCTCCTAGGAGCTTTCAAGGGCAGTGTACTTGAAGCAACTTAAAGTTCTTTTTTAATATAAATCGTTTGTCTTTAAAAACTCATTGAGGGAGGCCGGCCCCTTGGCTTAGCGGTTAAGTGCGCGCGCTCTGCTACTGGCGGCCCGGGTTCGGATCCCGGGCGCGCACCGATGCACCGCTTCTCCGGCCATGCTGAGGCTGCGTCCCATATACAGCAACTAGAAGGATGTGCGACTATGACGTACAACTATCTACTGGGGCTGTGGGGGGAAAAAAAGGAGGAGGATTGGCAATAGATGTTAGCTCAGAGCCGGTCTTCCTCAGCAAAAAGAGGAGGATTAGCATGGCTGTTAGCTGAGGGCTGATCTTCCTCACACACACACACAAAAAAACTCATTGAGGTTTGGGGGGTGGTGTGGGAGTATGGATGAATAGACAGAGCAGAGAGGATTTTTAGGGCAGTGAAAATACTCTGTACTCTGATACTATAATGATGGATACATGTTATACATTTGTCCAGACTCATAGAATATACAACACCAAGAGTGAACCCTACTGTAAACTATGGACTTTGGTGATTATGATATATTGATGTAGGTTCATCACTTGTAACAAATGTACCACTTCGGTGGGGGGATGTTGATATTAGGTGAAACTACGCTTGTGGGGGCGGAGGGTATATGGAAAATATCTGTACCTTTGTGTCATTTTTGCTGTGAACCTAAAACTGCTTAAAAATTTTGTCTTAATTCAAAAAAAACTCATTGATATGACAGTGTCTTGACTTCATACGCTTTCCTTGGCCTGCTGTTTAAATTGTAGACCTTTTTTTTTTTTTTTTTGTCTTTAAGATCTACACTCGTTCTGTGGTTGAATCCATTGCTTCACCAGCAGCACCAAATAAAGAGGTCACGCCACCTTCCGCTGAGAACGCCAATTCCAGTACTTTGTATAGAAATACAGATCGGCAAAGGAAAAAATCCAAGATGACAGATGAGGAGATCCTAGAGAAGCTAAGTGAGTTTTTTGTCATTGTTACTTTCTTCATGAGAAGGTTTCTCATAAACTACTTAGAATGGGAATTGATCCTTTAAAAGTCTGAACCTGCTTGCGTGAACTCCAGGCTCCCTGAAGTCATGAGATAAAAAGTTTGGGACTCGCTGTGTATTTCAGATCACTCCCTCTCTCACACTCCTAATTTGACAGAAACTAAATATTTTCACTTGAAAAAATCAGTTAAGGTGAAAAGTTGACAAAATGAATTAAGTAGTAAATTTTATTTTAAAATTATACTCCCAAAAGGGGTAAAATAGTCTGATGAAATATCTTATGATCATACCCCAAGGGCCCCCAACTGATCAGTCACAAGTTCCTTGTCTCTCCCAGTTTGGGTTAAGGACTCCTCTTGTTTACTGCCTTTATCGCAACAAATATCACACCATACTAATCTGTCTCTTTTACTAGACTGTGAGCTCCTCAAAGGCAGGGACTCTGTCTTCTTTTCCTGTATGTCCAGCTCTGATAAAGTGCCTGTTAACATAAAGGCACTTAACAAATGCTTGTTGAGCGAATGGATGAAAAAATGAGCAAACAAATGCATCTTTACTGGGTTCCTACTTGTCTGTTCTATGCCAGAATCTTTAGAGGAAATAATAGGAAAACAATTTCCTGCCATCAAGAAACTTACAATTTTATTTGGAAGATACAATTTAATAGTGTGATACAATTAGAGAATAGGAGGCCATCTTGTTTTTGCAAATGTCTATGTCAAAGAACTCAGAAAAGGAAGAGAGCAGTTTCTGCTATAGGCCACAGGAAGACTCTGCAGATGTGGTTGTAGGCCATTTTGTGCCCGAAGGGACATTTGGCAATGTCTGGAGACATGTTTATTGTCATGACACAGGGAGTGCTCCTGGCATTTAGTGGATAGAGGCTAGGGATGCTTCTAAACACTCTCTAATGCCGAGGACAGCCCCCTCTCTTTTCCCCTCTGCACCACAGAATTATTCAGCCCCAAATGTCAACAGTGCTGAGACTGAGACATTCTGAGCTAGAAGTATTTGGAAAGGCAAAGGTTCAGATTGCAGCTGTCAGTGAGCTCTCACAACTGGACTTGGTGGACTTCAGCCAACTGACTTTACTGTACAAGATTAAATATGCCTCTAGTGCTAGTACCGACTATTTGCTATAATAACAACAGTAATAATTCCCATTTATTCGGCACCTTCTCTGCTGGCCACTTTACATACATTATCAGGTTTCATTTTCACAACAATCCCTTGTGGTAGATTTTAATATCCTCATTTTACAGATCAGTTAAAGTAAGCCTCAAAAAGCTAAAAGTGAACAGGTCACCAAACTATTGAGTGGGAAGCCGGAGTTTGAATGCAAGACTGTTTGCCTTCGAAGCTTACTCTATTTCCATTACCCACTTGGCTTCTGCATATTCCAACTGTCTATTTGTGTAAAAGGAAAGGAATAAATGAAAGAATTGCCTGGGTAATTTCAGTTCAATTATTCAGACAATTGCATCCATTTCCCCTTATTTTGTACATGTAGATGTGACCTATGACATACCAGATTTTAAAAATCTAACAGCTTCACTTTAGTAAAAATGATTGGTATCTGTTTCAAATCTCAATAGATTTATTATATTGAAAATGCATTTATAGCTTTCTTAAGTTCACTGACAGAGAAACAAACAACATTTTCTTGGGCCAAAATCTTGCTTTGCTTGCAAGCTGTAATGGTACTGGAGCTGTGGTCTTTATAATTTGTTGTTTATTCTACTCTGCACTGAGCAACATGATGAAGAGGAGAAAGCTGCCTTTGATTGCATTTTTAATTAAGAATTAAGTGTTTTCTTTTCTGTTGGAGAATGCTTGGGTCTAGAGACAATCATTTTCCCCCTCGCCAGTGGGCCACCTGCAACTGCCAACCCTATCTTGTGCTTACAGATCTTGGCAGGGAGAACCTGCAGAGAAATGAGAGAGTGCTTCTCATGAAGCAGATCCAGGCTGAGCTATACTGCAAAGTCGGTTGTTCCTGCTTCTGATCCACCATCACCCTCTCTATGCCCTCTCTCTGCCACTTACTCGCTGTATCGCCTTAGACAGATTATTTAACCTCTCTGAGCCTCAGTTTCTTATCTGTCAAATGGGAATAAGAATCACAACTACATTTTAGGACTCTGTCTATAGGATGGATTTTACATAGCTCAACCAATCCAGAGAGAACAGGTATTGGAGTCAGAAAGGCCCAGAATCAAATCGCAAGCCCTTGCTACCAGCTGTGTCACTTTGGGCAAGTTATTTAACTTTTCTGGACCTCTTTTTCCTCATCTAAAAAAATGGAGATAATAATAGTGTCAACCTCATAGCTTTATGATAATTAAATGAGAATAATGCGTGTAAGAACTTCAGCAGTGGTACCTGATACACAGTAGGTGCTCAGTAAATGGTAGTTACTATTTTATTACATTGGTATAAAGCCTTAGTAAGATTGCAGTCCCAGTGTAATGATGAAATGAATAATAACTGAGTCTGAGTCATAGACCCAGACTAGCTGCATGTCCTTAGGCAAGTCACTCAACTCCTCTGAACTTCAGTTTCTTCATCTGAAAAATAGAGATAACAATAGTACTGATGTAATAGGGATTTTGTGAAAACTTAATGAGGTAAAGTATTTAATATACCTGGCACAATAAATAGTAGTATAAAATTATAATGTTATTTTTGCAAAATGAGAGCGACTATATCTTTCAGTATAAAAAAAATGGGGCATGAGGCCTTCCATTGGGACAGAATGTATGAAACTAGGAATAATCCCAGATGTATGGTCCCTATACGGAAGCCATTGAGGACCTTGGAATCAAGGCCCCCGTTGGATCTTGAGAGGAGGAGTAGAAAGCCTGTTCTGAGAGGCAAAGGAGAGAGGGAAGGGAGACAAGGAGGCAGAGGAATGGCCCATAGCCCATACCAGAGTAGACTCCACCATAAGTATGAGGAAGAGGTGAGAGCGACCTCACCTTTAGTCTCAGGGGTCCTTTTACTATGAGGTGGGCAGTCCAGACCAAAGAGCTGCCAGGCTGTTCATCTTCCATGCAGATACTGACTGTGGGGGCCAGACCATGGGATCATTAATGGCTGAAATGAACAGATCATCTTTCAGTTTTATAAAGACAGATAGCCTGGGTCTAGTTTGTTCATTGCAGTCTGTCAGAATCTGTTGGAAAATAAAGAAATCTCTACATTTTAGTGAAAATTTTCAAAAGGTGCTGTCAGCAAAATGGTGCAATGCAGGAAATTTGTCTTAGGCCTCCCTCCTTTGGGCCCCATAATTACCTCCTTCTCTCATACTTCCCCGCCTCCAGCATTTCCCACTCAAAACTCTATCCTAATTCCCCCTCAGATAGAAGTGATATTAATTTAGAGAATTATTTTTTCTCAGGAATCAAAACTTTCATTATGCTAAAGCGATAATCTTTTAATGGTTGGAATTCAACTTAGTTTAATATGTAGGAGAATACATTGATGGGCTTTTTTGGCACTGAAACCACATAATGAACCCTATTTTCAAATACTAGTGTCTAGTGATTTCTTAAATCCTTATACTTTAAAACGAATAGTTTGTTTCTTATTTAGGAAATTGCTCTGTAGGAAATTGTTCTGGTATTGCTATCATTTTTTTTTCCTTTTGATTTTGAGTTGCTGGTTTTTGTCACCTTTTTCCGTATTGTGTCACAATGTTTTTTCCTTTCTTTACTATAATTTATAAAAGCAAATTATAATGGCTCTGATGAAAGAGGTCACTTTAAGAGCTTGTTTTGTGATTCGGAATTGTAAACTAGGCTTCCTGTGCACTTGCCTAGCATCAGTAGATGGCAGCACACACTCTCCTGTAAAGGGTGATGAGTGTGGCGACGCCATTTTATTTGAATAGCAGTTAAATTCAGAAGCAAGATCTCGTTGAAATGGTTGTCTTTTGGTAATCCTCATGAAAGGATTTATTTCCAGTTGTTGTTGGTTTTTTTTCCCCCTGCATACCATGGAAATAAAGGCTGAATAATTTACTACCATAAAACCTCATTAACTAAACCCCGCCAGTTGGAATGGATCATAATTTAGAAAGTGGCTTGGGCTGAAGCTTGTTTGCTTTTGTTCAGTGTATGGAAAAGAGTTTGCTCAGCAACTTATTAGTATAACTTTCTTAGATGACTATAAACTGCTTAATAAAACTATGGTTTCAAGTGACTTCAAAAACCATCATTTCATTAAAAAAAAAAAAGTCCAGGCCATTACCCATTAATAGCGGACTTGAGTAAGGATAGTTCTCCGTGATGTAAAAATCTGTGAGACAATTTGAAAAATGAAATAGCAACTCAGAAAGTGTTAAATTGGTGGCATTCTATAGAAATAGCTCAAGGAAAATACATTCTGCAACCCCTATCTTAAAATATGGGGCATTTACAAAAGTGAATGCCTAATTTTATTTGAGTTTAATTCCACAGACATTTATTGAGTAACCAATGTATTCCACACACAGCATTGTATGAGGAGGCACTGAGGATCCAGAGATGAATAAGACATGGCTCCTGTTCTTAAGACACAGTCTGTAAGATGATGTCAAATAAATAGATATATGGTGTATTAAGGAGAGAGAAAGAGAGCAAGGGCAAAAGCAAGAGAGGCAGAAAGAGAGAGAGAGAAGGTACAGTAGTAGTACAAAGAAGGGAAATTATTAACTTTATTCAAAAAAATCAGAGAAGGCTTCCTAGAAGAGGCAACATCGAAGCTGAGTTGAAGCGTGAGTAGGAACTTGCAGGAAGAAAACTTAAAAAGGACATTTCAGGGGCCGGCCCCGCAGCTTAGCAGTTGAGTGCGTGCGCTCTGCTGCTGGCGGCCCGGGTTCGGATCCCGGGCGCGCACCGACGCACTGCTTCTCCGACCATGCTGAGGCCGCGTCCCACGTACAGTAACTAGAAGGATGTGCAGCTATGACATACAACTATCTACTGGGGCTTTGGGGGAAAAATAAATAAATAAATAAAATCTTTAAAGAAAAAAAGAAGGACATTCCAGGCAGAGAATAGCACGTAAGGAAGGTATGAAGGCATATGCCTGGGAACTCTTAACTTATTCAGTGTCACTTGAATATAGAATTAGTGGTGGATGGTGGGACTGGAGTTTTAGGACTGGAAGCTAAACTGTTAAGGAGGAGCTGATCATGAGCTACAATTAGTTTGTTATGGTCAAAGCATAAGGTTCTAGTTGGGAAGTGGGGAAGATGAGATGGATAATGAAGCAAAAGCCAGGTATGAAGAACCTGGCATCCCATGCCAAAGAATTTGACCTTTACCCTGTAGGTGTTGTGTAGGCATCAGAGACTCCTGAACCAGAGAATCACATGATCGGTTCTGCACCTAGAGCAACCCGACAGAGGTGTGGAGCCTGGACTGCAGTGGGCGGAGGCTGGAAATTAGAAGTCCAGTTATGAGGCTGTTGAAAAAGCCCAGACAAAAAATGATGAGGGCCCAACTAGAAGAGTAGTAATGAAGAAGGGGCAGATTCAAAAGGCATCTAGGAGGTAAACAGATATAGGCCCAGGACTCGGTAGACAACTGCATCTGGGGAGTGAAGATAAGGGATGAGTCAAAGATGACTCCTAGATTTCTGACCTGGGCTACTGAGTAGATGGATGGTAGTACCATCGACTCAGATTGGAAATACAAGAGAAAAAGAATGATAACAACTCACATATTGGTAAGTCTTATTTAACCTAAAAAACAAACGTAAAAACCCCTAACAACCTGATAAACAATCCATGAGTGAAACGTTTAATTTATTATTGTTTTCAAGGTATACTCTTTACTGAGAGGTCTGAATTAAGTTGTTCACTAGCCCAGAAAATAAATCATTGTCTAAATTGACATGAGATATTGTCTGTAGCACACAGTTTAGCACTTGAGCACGTTTTCTTGTTTGCATTCATTTAGTCAACAAATATTTGTTCAGTGGCAGCCACTCTTCTAGGCACTAAAGTTACAGGGATGAAAAGACAAAGTCCCTGTCCTCAAGAAGAAGCATGTAAGTCTCATTAGAAGGATCAGAGAAGAATTCACGAAGGAGGATGACTTGAGATTATATTTAAATAATAAATAGGAATTCATGGGTTAGATAGGAAAGGGAAAGGGGAAGCATCCGCAAAGACCTAAGCCTCGTATAGTGATGGCATTAGAAACATATAAAGTAGAAGGGATGGAGAGGGGAGGAATAATAGGAGGTTTAGAATGGTTAGGTAGGAGCTAGATGGTGCTCGATGGCAAAGGACCTCTATGCCAGACTAAGAAATTTGAACTTGATCCTGTAGTGAGGAGGAACTTTTGAGGAATTATGAACATGGAGTGAGGTCACTCTGAATTAGGGTGACTATACATCTCAGTTTACCCAGGACAGTCTCCATTTATGAATTATATGGTTACCCTATTCCAAAGGCATTATGGAAGAGAAATTAGAGAAGGCAGAGTTTAGAGGTAGGTAACGACTAGCACAATTGTTTGGACAAGAGATGTTGAGGGCCTAACCAGTGGCAGTGGCCCTGGGCATGAAGATCAGGAAATGAATGAGTGACAATTAGGAGGTAGACTCTATAGACCTACTCTTGATTAGTTTATGTGTGTCAATCTTGTCTTACTGACTCTACACTTCTTTGGGACAGGGGCCATGTTAGTAAGATATGAGTCAAAGGTAATGATACTGATATGTTTGCTACCAAAAAGACAGAAGGGAGAGCCAGAGGCATCCAAATAGATGATTCCCTTCAAAGTAGTCCCCTTGAGAATCTGCACCCTTCTTCCCATAATGCTGCTATGGCCCGGAATTTGCCTGCACCTATTTGAGCACTGCGTTGAAGAGTCAATGTCACTTCCTTTAGATTTATTCTGAGTGGTGGCAAGTATTCAGCCTCTGAGTACGTTGAAGAGTCAATGTCACTTCCTTTAGATTTATTCTGAGTGGTGGCAAGTATTCAGCCTCTGAGTAGTGGATTTGATATTTTGAAATAACAAAACCGATATTTTTTTTTCCAGAGCCAAACATGATAAATTAATGGTTTTCTTGTGTGGCTTATAAACTTACTCCACAGTGTTTGGAACAATCCATAGAAACAGAAAGTAGATTAGTGGTTGCCTGGGGATGGGTTGGGAAGCCAAGACGGGGATGAAGAGTGACTGCTAACAGGTACAAGGTTTCTTTTTGGGATGATGAAAATGTTCTAAAATTAGATCATGGTGAAATTTAGTAAATTTGTACAAGTCTAAAAATTTACTAAAAGCCATTGAATTGTATACTTTAAATGGGTGAACTTATGGTATGGAAATCATATCTCGGTAAAGCTGTTAAAAATGTTTGGAGTGCTAGTAGGGTCCTAGGTTCAGGGATGTATGTTTTTAAAAAGCCTGAGTCTCATTACTTCATGATTAAACTTTGTTCTTGGTTAGACTCATACCTATCCCCCATTGCCTTTAGCACAGTACTGGGTGCACAGTAATTGCTCAATAGACATTTGTCCAGCAAAACTGAATGTAGTGTAGTGCTCCATTTCACTCCAATTCAAAGAAGATAGTAATTTTATTAAATAGCGTGTACAAGTTCTTAGATGTTTTTATCTCCTAATCTACAGTATCCTTTTATGGGAACGTTTTATAAATGTTGAGTTGTGATGAGTCCTTTTTGTTTCCCAAACATCATCAATTTTGAATATAAGCAGCATGGGTTATTACTACTACTTTAATTAATATATTGCTATTCGTTACATTAATAAAATGTATCATTATCCATAAATTATAGAAATCATGTGGGAATATTGCTCTAATGTTTTATTTGTCATTGACTCTGGCATCTTAATTTTTAGTATTAAATAAAGGGAAATCAATCATCAATTTATGTCTGTCTCTCTCTTCCTCTCCCCCCAACCCCCAACTCAGGAAGCATTGTGAGTGTTGGTGACCCAAAGAAAAAATATACGAGATTTGAAAAAATTGGTCAAGGGTAAGTGATTGTTACTTGAAATATCAAAAGATGAGCACCAGAGACATACATTAAAATTCAATAACAACTTAGATTTCTGGTAAATTATGCTTCTCATTTCCTGGGTTATTTTCATGGTTTGCATTCTCAATATTGGCCTTTCTGTCTGGCAGACTGACTGTTAATTAAACAAGGAACATATCCTGCTGGAATCTTCACTATTGTTGGGCTGACAGTGAATTTTTTAGGGATATTTTGATCCCATATAGTTAGAAGATTAAAATTTTATTTCTCTAGAAAAGTGGTAGGGTAATAGAAACCTCTAGCTTGTATGAAAACCCCCTTTATCTCTGTCCCCCTACGTCTGTATGGATGTTGTACTTAAGATATTGTTTCATTGTCAAACTGAAAAGTGACAGAGTGAGGGTAGAGAAAGTCCTTATTGAATGAATCAGAGGTGGGCAGAATTGGCTATCAGAGTAAGGAGGAAGCAGATCAATAATTCCTAAATGAGATGGAGTGCATCATCTTCACCTAGTGTGCTTGTTAAGAATAGAGATCCCCAGGCCCCACTGCTGGAGATTTGATTCAGAAGTCTGAAGTGGGGCTCAGGAATCTGAACTTTGGAAACGTTCCTCAGAGAATCCTGATCATCAGCTATAATTAGGCGTGTTTCCCAGGCTTCAGTGTGAAACTAAACAGGAGGGCCTGCGTAGGCAACAGCATTTGAAACAGGGAAAAGTTTTGTTTAAACAGAAACGAAGTGTTCTTAAGGGCTGTTTTTAAATGGAGAACGAGACAAGATATTTAGGTGCACTAACTACTGTATGCCAGGAACCAAGATGGCATCCCAGAGGTTTTCTGGCTGAGACAAGGGGCTTGGATGGAAGAGATACAGCTAATGTCCCTGCAAAATTATGCTAGCCCCTCAGCCAATCAAGTCTATTTTTGGGTAATGGAATGTAGAATTTCTTCAAGCACCTCACTACTTTTCCTAGGATTCTTAGGTTCAGAAAATTATATATTGTATATAAGCTTGGCTATTTGTCATGATTTTTATACTTTGTTTCTTCCCCCTAGCTCTCATACTCAAGTTTCCTTTGAAATTGCCAACTTAGCTTGGGAAATAAGGGAAAGCATTCATTAGACATTTAGGCTAGAGGGTAAGAGGGACATGTCTTACCCCTTACTTGTGGGGATGGTGCCTGGTGGGAATCAAGGTGAGAAGACCCTGAGAGGGAGGCAGAAACTCAGGGAGAAATATATGGCCAAATTTCTTCTTCCAGTGGAAACCATAATGGTGCTGCATTTCTAGGAAGCCTAAAATATATACCTATTTATGCTTTTGCTTCTTTCTTTGTCACTTGATATCACTGGTATTCTCACTTGCTAATAAAAAAAGAGTTTTGTGGTCTCTAGGGACCCCCATCACCTAACCAGTCAAATAGTATTTTTGCCGTTGATTGGACAGTGCTGTCCAATGAAACTTTCTGTGATGATGGAATTGTTCTATATCTGTGTTGTCCTCTGTGGTAGCCACTAGCGTGTGTGGCTATGGAGCACTTGAAATGTGTCTAGTGCAAATGAGAAACTGTATTTATTTGAATTAATTTATTTGCTCAGCCCACATTTATTGAGCGCCAACTATGTGCCAAGCACTATGCTAAGTGCTAGAGAAACAGAGATGGGTAATGGTGGTGTGGACTCTCAAGAAACTTAAAGTCTACAGTGATAAATGCTTGACAGAGGGTTACGTAGGGTCCAAGAGGAACGTTGAGACAAGCCTACTCAATTCACCAGTAGGACTGGCTTCTATAGCCATTATTTCCCACCTGGAGTTTTCTTTTTTTTTTTTTTTTAATTTTTGTTTATTGCAGTAACATTGGTTTATGACATTGTAAAAATTTCAGGTGTACATCATTGTACTTCTATTTCTGCATAGATTACATCATGTTCACCACCAAAATACTAATTACAACCCATCACCACACACATGTACCGAATTATCCCTTTCACCCTCCTCCCTCCCCCCTTCCCCTCTGGTAACCACCAATCCAATCTCTGTCCCTATGTGTTTGTTTATTGTTGTTATTATCTACTACTTAATCTTTCTTTAACTTAAGTAAGGAAGCCTTACCTTTTCATGTCCATATGCAAACCCCAACTCACTTTCTTCATGCCTAAAAGGTAGACACCACAAGATGATTACAAAAACATAATATCACCTACTAAGGGGACTTGGAAAGCAAAAGTTGGCCTTTAGATTTTATTTTAATCTGGTTGGGTCTTTGGTGGAGCTAAAAATAGGAAAGGATACACAATCCACAGAGAAGTAGCATTCCAGATCTTTGCTGTCTAATACAGTAACCATGTGGCTCTTGAGCGCTTGAAACATGGCTAGTCCAAACTGAGATATGCTGTAAGTATAAAATATGGACTTGATTTCAAAAAGTTAGTATGAAAAAAGGATGCAAAATATCTGGTTAATTTTATATTGGTTACTTGTTGAAATGACATTTTACTATATTGTGTTAAATATGTTGAAATTAATTTCACTTTTTAAGCTTTTTTAAATATAGCTCCCAGGAAATTTAAAATATAGCTCATATTATATTTCTAATGGACCGCGCTACTCTAGTTGTAGGTATAAATGGGAGCTATTTATTTATTTATTCATAAAGTGTTTTTTTTTCAGAGTTGTCTTTTGGGGAGTGGAATTATAATAAAATTATAATTTTGTTTGATTGTTCATTCCCACTAGGACCCAACTGAGCCAAAAATAGCATTGAATTTAAAAAAGAAACAAAGGAAGCGATGGTTTCAAATACCTCCCAGGTACCAGGTAATGAAGCAAGACTGATTTATCCAAGAACAAAGATTAGGCCGCCAAGCAGCTTTGCATACCAAAGAGATTTCCTTTCCTGGTCGTTATTTATGCTTCTGACCTCTGAAGGTGCAGAATGAAAGTTCTCTATTTCTGCTTACCTTTGTAAACCCTTTATAATCGAAAGTGAAAAATCAAAGCAGAAATCTTGCTTGCTACTACAGAAAGGTCTGTTTTAAACTCCCAGTGAGTTTATCATTTTAAAGAATGATGAAACCAACAGATAGTTTACTCATAGGCCCAATTCAACTTTTAAATAAGTCCTTAGAGAATAGGGAGTCTATTTTGTTCCTCTTTTTGTCTTATTTAGTATCTAGCACAGTGCTTTTGCACATAGTAGGACCCCCAAAAACAGTTCTGTACAATTTCAGTTAACAGCCAGAGTTCACTTGGCCAAACTCAGAGACCTACAGAGCTTCCCCTGTCTGCCTCCCCCATGTCTCTGGATCTGCTTTTGCCTCAATAAATATTTGTTGAACTAATGAAAATGTTTGCCTTTCTAGCTCTCCCTTTCCTCTGGCCTCTGTCTTTTCATGTGTATATACATGTTTACCTTGCTCTTTCTGTCTCTGTCTCTCTTTCTCAGTGTATCTTCATCTCTTTGTTTCGCATAGTGATCTGCCTCACCACATCTGATTCTTTATCCTTTGGGAATTTGTGTGTGCTGCATGTCTGTTTTTTTCATTCATGTTGCCTTCACCTTCTGCCCATTTTCACACACACACTCAACCAAAATGATCATAATATAAAATCAAGATGTATTTTTTAAATAGCTTTTAGGATATAATCTAGTAACTTAATCTATTTGCTGTAATTTTATCATTTATTTAATTTAGTAATTTGGGTTTTTTTTTGTTTTTTAGTAGATTTTTACTCTCTGTTCTTAATTTTTAATGTGAATGAGCAAAATATTGATTTATTTCTCTCTAGAATAACAAAAAAACCCCACTTAAATTAACTTTCCTTTTACTTAAATTGCTCTCAATGGATTTTTCCATAAATTATTGGCCTAAGTTAAGGCAAACTAGTATCTATAGAGTTTTTATTTTATTTTCATTAACACTTGTTTTTTATTGTTTCGCTTTACCCATTATGACGGTCACATTCAGGCCTGTGTCAGTAATCATGTGGTGCTAGGAATAATCAGCCCCAGTATTCCATTTTCAGCTCCAGGGAGCACAACAGCTTCCTCTTGGGAGCCGGATTTGAGAATAACTTCACCATTAATCACCCTCATTTACTTGGAAAACTAAATTTTTCCAGTCTGTGTTTCTGCCATCCCAGCATTCAGGCCTGGGGCCAAAGAATTGGGCTCCATCTTCCATAAATCAAGTTCAGATTTGCATGTCTAATCATTTGAGACCATAGCTGTGAGTTGAAGGCTAAAAATGACATTATTTCACCAGGTTTCCTGTGAAAGTGTTCTGTAATGGGCCACCAAATCCAGATATTTTGAGCAGATGTATGTAAAGTTAAAAGAAAAAAAAAGGAAAGAAAGCAAAAAGGCCTGGTACTCCCCAAATTATCATTAACTCAACAGGAGTTTGTCAGAAATATATCTGGTGGAGACTTCAGAATCTTCACTCTTTAGGACAGTTATATAAAAGAACTTGTTTAATAAATGGAGTAGGGTGAGACAACAAAATCAAATATTTATTTTCAGTCAACAGCTATCATTGGCAAGCCTGTGTAATTCCTGAATAAACAGTAGCTGTGTAATAGAGGGCTGAATTTGCTGCTGTTGGCAGCTGTTCTCACAGATTTCTCATTAATATATTTGAATTCACTTGAAAGCCTTTCCTTAAATGAGAATGCACTGAAAAACAGACCCTTTCCTCTTTCAGGTTCATATTTATTTTCTCTTATTATCATAGAAAAATATTTTTGAGGAAGCAGCTCAGAGATGTTGGTTTGGATCCAGTTAAACAAATAACTTTTGGAATTCAGTGAACTATTATTGAGTGCCTACTATGTGTCATGCAGAGTAGTAGTTGAGAAGCAAGTTCTGGGAGTCACGGTGACCTCTGTGCTCACTGTCTCTCTGAATGTCCGATAGGGAGAAAAGAAAAGTTGTATCAAGAAATAGGCAAGACCCCCTTCCCAAATGCATCCACCTTTCCCCCATATTTTATCCACA